CAGACCAGGCCCTGAGGCCTGTAGCAAAAATTGCCCTGAACTTAGCCAAAAGGCCTGGTCCCGAGGGCGCTGTGCAGAAAAAGTGTTTGACCCTCCCCTGCCCCTCTCCATCAGTATTGGTCACATTAGCTGAGTGATGGTGAAAAACTTAGCAAGGAGCATTGGAATACTACGCAGTACCAGTGTGCAAAAGTGGATTTGAATTGGAAGAATAAATCTCTAAAGTTGGGTGTACTACATGTGTGGATGTTTATGCATTATGTAACACTATTAGAATAGTTTTTTGGGGTGCCTCAAGACTGTCAATTTTAAATGGTGCCTTGAAATTGTCCATAATTTTGAAGGGTGCCTTGATTGAGAAACACTGTTCTAGGTCACTGATTCAACTCTCAGCAGCCATGGTATGTTCCCATATCTTTTGAAAGTCCTGCCAGATCAGGAAGACCTCCTCCTTCAGACCACCAAACTGGTACTTGAGATTAACGGAGGCTGTGAATTTGTTAATCCCCTGCAGAATCTCTGATAATGTAGATTGTTCTCTGTCCTCATCTTCCTCCTCACCTGTATCTGTATGTAGCGAATTAAGCTGATCTAAAATGGCACCTGCAGCTTGCCCACCACTATCCCCTTCTTGTTCAGTGTCCAAGAGCTCCGGGGGGAAGGTGACGGCAGCTGGAGCGGCTTTTTCAGAGGGACCTGCTTTTGGGCATAATAGCGCATATCCCTAGGAGGATCCCCCAAAGAACTGTTGGGCGTCTTAGCAGGTTTACCTACAGCCGCCTTCCGCTTCTCCACATCACGCAAGGTGTGTTGTGGAAGGGCCACCGCGGCACCATCCATGTTGAAGTTCAGGCTGTGGTCCTTCATCTTTGTTCTTGCAAGCCACCATGTTGGTAACTGTGAAAGTAGATGTATCGGGTTGTCAATGAGGGGGAGGAGGAGGTGGGAACCGGTCTCAGGGGTCCGCAGTGCTGGGAACAGGATTAAATCGAGATAATCTCCGGAAGCTCTGTGAGGTGTGTCTGTTCACATGCTGTTCCTGGCCATGCCCCCCGTCTGCTGTATAACTTAAATACCTGCCCTTTGTCATACCCCTATAACAATGCTGGCAGACTGGAGTTACCATATTGTTGGATATCAACAATCTAACTTGCTGTGCTCACGAGCAGTTTGCTTGGCTTTTGGAAACAGGCTAGATACTGAACCATGGGGAGCAGAAAAGAACTGTTAAAAGTTAAACTTTATAAAGATGTAAAAGGATAAAAAAAAGATATCCAAAGCCTTCAATATGCCAGTCAGTACTGTTCAATCACTTTTTTTTAAAAAGTGGAGAGTTTGGGGATCTCTTGATACCAAGTCAAGTTCAGGTAGAGCAAGAAAAATTGCTGCCACAACTGCCAGAAGAATTGTTCAGGATACTAAGGTTACCACAGGTAACCTCAGGAGAAATACAGTAAAAGCTTCTTTCTGGCAGCTCGACCGTGTAGCTCATTTTTGTTCAAGTATCTTTGTATTGTGCTCCTTTAAAAATAACCACACTGTCTTTTTCCAGAGCAGCCTATATTTCTCCTGAGATTACCTGTGGGTTTTTCTTTGTATCCTGAACAATTTCTCTGACAATTGTGGCTGCAAACTTTATTGATCTAACTGACCTTGGCTTGGTATCAAGAGATTAAACAGTACTGCCTAGCATATTCAAGGTTTTGGATATCTTTTTATATCCTTTTCCATCTGTATAAAATTCCATTACCTTGTTATACTGGTCTGCTGACAGTTCTTTTCTGCTTCTTATGTCTTCCATGTGAGAGCTACCAAACTCATTGACTATTTATACACACACTAATTGCAATTTAAAAGGCCACATATGTGGAAAATTAACCTTTTAATTGCCATTTTAATATGTGTGTGTGTCATCTTGTGTGTCTGTACCAAGGTCAAACATTCTAGGGTATGTAAAGTTTTGATCAGAGCCATTTGGGTGATTTCTGTTATTATGATTTAAAGGAGCCAACTATGTAATAATAAATGATCATGTGATCAGTATCCTTAAATAAGAGTTTTTTTTTGGCATGATCAGTCATATATTCAATAAAAAATGCCAAAATATCATGATTTCTGCCATAGTATACAAACGTTTGAGCACAACTGTACCTTTTACTCTGTGCTTTTCCTATACTTTTTTTTTATCCCAAGAATAAACAGCAGGAGGAGAACAGCTTGGCTTGGGAGTGTAATGACCTAAAATAATACAACAAAGCCAAACACTCCACTAGGGAGTTCCAAGACATCTAGGAAAACAGTGAGTTTTTTAACCCACAGCATCTGTCCATAAACTGAATATATGTGTTTTGGTTGGACTTCGGTTTTTCACACAAACACCAAAAAGAAAACTGAAACATTTCTGATATATATACTAGGCTCTTTGATCCTGTGATCCTTGTTTCTTACTGAGTGGGAAGCAGAACATTGTGACAGCTGAAATGATGGTTTGATGATTTGTTTATATTTCAGGCATTTGGACTATCTACTGCAAGTAATTTTCCTGTGTGTTTGGGGGGAAAAAGTCATATTTAGACCCTGTGCCATAAACCTGTTTTACAATCTTTTTGCAAACCTCTCTAAGGGAGATGACAGACCATTTAATCAAAGAAATAATTCACAAAAAAAATATTGTAGTCTGACATACTGTAATTCAAAGACCTTTTTTTAACTCCAAGACATAAATTCATATCATTGTTTCACATAAAGTGTCAGTCCAACCAAAACTGGTATTTAATTTTGAATAGTTCCTAATAAACTCAATTACTGACAGCTATACAGTGGATATAAAAAAAATCTATACATCCCTGTTAAAATGTCAGCTTTCTGTGATGTAAAAAATGAGAAATCCTATAAACTGTACAACTCTAATGAAAAACAAACTGAAATCTTTTGGGGGGGGGGGGGGTAAACATAAAAAACTAAAATAATGTGGTTGCATAAGTGTGCACACCCTCTTATAACTGGAGATGTAGCTGTGTTTAGAATTAAGCAATCACATTCAAAATCACGTTCAATAGGAGTCAGTACACACCTGCCATCATTTAAAGTGACTCTGATTAACCCCAAATAAAGTTCAGCTGTTCTAGTAGGTCTTTCCTGACATTTTCTTAGTTGCATCCTACAGCAAAACCCACGGTCTGCAGAGAGCTTCCAAAGCATCAGAGGGATCTCATTGATAAAAGGTATCAGTCAGGAGAAGCGTACAAAATAATTTCCAAGGCATTAGATATACCATGGAACACAGTGAAGACAGCCATCATCAAATGGAGAAAATATGGTGCAACAGTGACATTACCAAGAACCGGACGTACCAAAATTGATGAAAAGGCAAGAAGAAAACTGGTCTGGGAGGCTGCCAAGAGGCCTATAGCAACATTAAAGGAGCTGCAGCAATATCTGGCAAGTACTGGCTGTGTGTGACATGGGACAACAATCTCCCGTATTCTTCATGTCTGGACTATGGGGTAGAGTAGCAAGATGGAAGACTTTTCTTATGAAGAAGAAACATCAAAGCCCGGCTAAATTTTGCAAAAGCATGTGGGAAACTGTGCTATGGTCTGATGAAACCAAGGTTGAACTTTTTGGCCATAATTCCAAAAGATATTTTTGGCACAAAAACACTGCACTTCACCAAAAGAACACCATACCCACAGTGAAGCATGGTGGTGGCAGCATCATGCTTTGGGGCTGTTTTTCTTCAGCTGGAACTGGGGCCTTAGTCAAGGTAGAGAGAATTATGAGCAGTTCCAAATACCAGTCAATTTTAGCACAAAACCTTCGGGGTTCTGCTAGAAAGCTGAACAGGAAGAGGAACTTCACCTTTCAGCATGACAATGACCCAAAACATGCATCCAAATCAATAAAGGAATGGCTTCACCAGAAGAAGATTAAAGTTTTGGAATGGCCCAGCCAGAGCCCAGGCCTGAATCCAATTGAAAATCTGTGGGGTGATCTGAAGAAGGCTGTGCACAGCAGATGCCCTCGCAATCTGACAGATTTGGTGTGTTTTGCAAGGAAGAGTGGGCAAATACCTCCGTGCCTCAGGAAGTGCTCCAAAACTCTTCGTTTTGTGCTACACATCTGACAGAGCAGCACAAATCATGACAAATCCTTCACACTCTGCATGATGCGAATGCAGCAAGCAGGAGTATGCAAAATAAACAGCATACAGAGTTTGGAAAAATGTAATGTCCAGTGTAAAGAGTGAAGTGATCAGCATTATATAATGGGACAGATTTACTAAAGGCAAATAGACTTTGCAGGTGTAGTTGCACTCACTTTCTCCAAATCCCGAATTAATGTGGTGAAGCTCTGCTGATTTCCATCATCCAATCGTGCAAGTAAAAAAGCAGTTTTTTCCCCCCTTTTTGCACCTGATTGGGTATCCTTTACATGAACCGATTGTCAGTATGGGACATGGGGCTCCCGGTGAAACACACATGCACCAAGACACCTGCACATATATGTGGCCCCACAGAAAAAATCCCAGTCCAGTAGGGCCACATATATGTGTATGCTCGGCGACAAGTGGTTAAAATATGACACCACATACAGATTGCAGTAGTCAGCATTAAATAACATACAGTATACATTACATACTCCTGGCCATACTCTATATGTTGTGTAGTACATACAGTACCTTTTTAACATCTGGATTCTGGCCAGGAAAAAGGTAAGACACTGAAGTAAAGGTACAGGCATTCTTCACATTCACATGCGTGTTGTCCAGGCAGGGGTTAAGGCTTTGTTTACATGTATGCAGGTGTAACAGTGCACAAAGGTTTTACATGTAATAACAGGTCCTGAACTAAAATCATGCTAAAGAAGTTGAGTGCTTTGGCATCATTGCCCTCTCATTCTGTACCAGGGGCGGACTGACAACTCATGGGCCCCCCGGACAATATGGGATTATGGGGCCCCTGTGTCCTTGACCAAACTCAAAAAAGCCTATGAAAAAGGTACCAGGGGCATCTCATGGGGCCCCCTACTGACCCTGGGCCCTCAGGCAGTGCCCGAGTTTCCAAATCGTCAGTCTGCCCCTGTTTTGTACACTACATGGTACATTTCCAATTCCACATCTGTTTAAGCCACTCTGAATATTCAGCACAAAGGAAATGCAGCCCACTTTTTGAGGCAACAAGCTGTGTGTGCCACATTCATTTTGTCTGAAGCAATGGGGCCCAAATTCTGATCTTGCACACAGACACACTGCTTTGAAAAAAATGCCCTTGATTAAACCAGTAATGGTGGACAGCCCCATCTCAGTAGGCACAGTGCTGGTCGAACTGGATCTGCCAAAGGAAGAACTATACAGGATAAAGTAGATTAAAAAAAAAAAAAACTTTTTGAAAGAGAATATTGAGAAACCTCTCATATTTTTAATCTCCATGGAAATAGCTAGCCGTCTCTCGTATACAGTATTACAATTTGATTAGGGGGGATTCTTGTCCCCATCCACTTAGATGTCTTCACCTGTCAGAGTTAATTACATAGTGAAGTGCCCATGTGGACTTTACTCTGTGGGTGAAACCACACAAAAGGTTAAAGAACATATAGCCAAACATAAACATTCTATAAAGAATTCATAGACTCAACTGCCAGTTGCTAGACACTGTACTGAAGGTGGTCAAAAGCTATCTCCGTTTAAATACAGGATTAAAAAATGTATTCCTAAACAAAAAAGAGAGGGTATTTGAGAACTTAAAGTGTTACTAAACCCCAGACCCTGCATTCACTATATCTGGTCTCCCACAGTACACACAATTATTCTAATAAATATAAACTGCTAAATACCTTTTCTCATCAACAGTTAGAGCAGTCTTGTGACTTGACCTGAGCACTGGTTAGAGCTTGTAGGAGGAGTTTTCTCTAAGATGGAAATCCCCTGACCTTTGTCTGGACAGTGCTGATTGGCCCTGTGCTGATTACATGCACTCTCCCAAGAAAATAAAAAAAACCTCTCTAGCAATACACACTAAACTGAGCAGAAGGGCACGGTTCAGTCTGTCTTATCAGCGTGGGCATTTGAACAAGAGGAGGGGCAGAGAAGAAAAGATCAAACAGCCTTTTTTACACAATGCAGAGAAGTAACCCCTTAGGTTCCACAGTGAGTATATCAAGCATGCTTTACTGCATATACGGACTGATTTTACAGTTGTGGGTTTAGTAACATTTTAAACAGCATGAGGTGGAATGGCTAAATAGACTTGATTACTATCCATCCTAAAGGTCATCATGTAGACTGTGATCAGTGTGTTCTCTTTGACTGCTGTTTTATTTTGCAGTATTTAATTATATTTATTTTGTGTTTCTTTTTCAGGTATATGTATTTGCTAAATTGAAAACATTATATACCCACAATTAATCCAGCAGAAGGCAAAATAAACCCTATAAAGCATGGTCCACTTTGCTCCAGCAGGGGAAAAATACATTCTTTCCTGATTGCCCAGAATGCATTTGGATATTCCCTAGGTCAACCCTCCCTGGTGTTATTACCTATAAGTGTTAATATCCAGTTATGTTTGGTTCATTTATAAATGCATCCAGCTCTTCTTTAATACAACCTACTGAGCTGGCCAGAACCCGTCCTTGAGAAAATCTATTCAACATTTTCACAGCCTCTTAATGAAACAAATCCCTTTTTGTATGTGGAGGTTAAATTTAATTTTTGCCGGACATAAAGGGTACCCCCTTGTCCTTTGTGATGATCTTTTAAAGTGAATAACTATGCACCACTTATGTATTTATACACGGATATCATACAGTTGTGTTCAAAATAATAGCAGTGTGTTGAAAAAAGTGAATAAAGCTCAAAATCCTTCTAATAGCTTTTATTTCCATCCACACAAATGCATTGGGAACACTAAACATTCTATTCCAAATCAAAACATGAAGAAAAATATATCAAATGTGTGTTGTTCCTCTAAAAAAATATAATATAGTGAATATTAGACGGTTCAAAAAAATAGCAATGTTTGTATTCTTCTTTACAAAACTCAAACATTCACTATATAAACTGAAAAATGTTTGAAGATTTTACTTTCCTTTGAATGACCTAATGAATATTTGGTTGTAGTCGCACTGTTTCTGAGAACTGCTGTACATTTGTGTTGCATGGAGTCAACCAACTTCTTGCACCTGTGAACAGGTATTCCAGCCCAGGATGATTGGACTACATTCCACAGTTCTTCTCTATTTCTTGGTTTTGCCTCAAACTGCATTTTTGATGTCACCCCACAAGTTTTCTATTGGATTAAGATCCGGGGATTGAGCTGGCCACTCCATAAAGTCAATCTTGGCTATTCTTCTATCCATTCGAATGGTAGTTTTTCGCTTTCTTCCACGTTTTTGGTTGCCATTTTAAAGCATTTGCGATCATTTTAGCTGAGCAGCCTATCATTTTCTGCACTTCTTTATATGTTTTCCCCTCTCCAATCAAGTTTTTAATCAAGGTACGCTGTTCTTCTGAACAATGACTGGAACAACCCATCTTCCTCAGAATTTCAGAGAGAAATGCACTGTAACCAGCATGTACAACATTTGCTGCCTTTCTTCCTTAAATAAGGGCAATAATTGCCACTTGTTTTTCAAAGAATGAATGACCTCACTAATAGAACTCCACACTGCTATTATTTTGAACATGCCCCTTTCAATTAGTGATTCAATTACACAGAATCAGCAGCATGCATGTCATGACTGTTGGGTCTGTTGGATTTCTATTACTCTACTACACCTGCTAGTAAATTATTTACCATGTAGAAATATTTCTACCAAAAACAGTGATTGATCAGGTTAGTGATGTCTGACTGCTATTATTTTGAACACAACTGTATCTCTCTCCGGGGGGTAATCTCCTCTTCTCAAGAGAGAATAAATTCAGTTCAGCTAATCTTTCCTCATAGCTGACCTCCTCCATACCTCCTATCAATTTGGTTGCACTCCTCCATTTTTCCAGTTCCCCAATTTCCTTTTTCTGAACTGATGCCCAACACAGGACTGCATTCTAGAGGATGCCTTACTATTGCTTTGTACAGGGGTAAAATTATTTGTCTCTCTCTGAAATCTATACATCATGTAATACAAGAAAATGTTTTGCTTGCTTTAGAAACTGCAGCTTGGCATTGTATGCCTATTATCTGCCAAACCACCCAGATCCTCCTCAACCATTGATGCCCTAAGTTGTATTCCTTCTAGAATGTATGATGCATGCATGTCTATAGCCCCCAAGTGCATACATTTATCAAATTTTAAACCTCAATTTTTACTTGCTTATAAGTTTGAAGACATCCTGCAAGAATATTATTCTCTGCATAACTTGGTGTCATCTGCAACACTGAAATAATACTTATCACTAACTCAATATCATTTATAAATAAGTTAAAAAGTGAGTGTCCCAACACTGAACCTTGGGGTACACCACTAACAACCCTAGACCATTCAGTGTCCCAACACTGAACCTTGGGGTACACCACTAACAACCCTAGACCATTCAGTGTCCCAACACTGAACCTTGGGGTACACCACTAACAACCCTAGACCATTCAGTGTCCCAACACTGAACCTGGGGGACACCACTAACAACCCTAGACCATTCAGAGTATTATATCACAACTCTATGAATAAAGTCTTTTTGACCGTTTTCTATTTGAAACTGAATTTGTAAGTCTAAAGAGTTACACATTCGCCATATGTTGGGAATTTTGTCAAATGGTTTTGCAAAGTCCAAGTATATTATAGCCACGGACACTCCTTTCATCCAATTTTATACTTCTTTTTCTCATGAAAATAAAGCAGATTTGTCTGACAACTTAGGTTGCTGTCTATTTCTTAAATATTGTTTTCTAGTAAAAACTCTTCTATATGGTACTTTATGGAACTCTCACATTCTGTATCTTCTCGACCATAGAAGTTAATCTAACCAATCTGTAGTTACTTGGTAAAGATTTTGAAGCTTTTTTAAATATAGGTATCTCATTGACCTTGCACCAATCTAGTGGTACTGAGCCAGTCATTAAAAAGACTCTAAAAACTAGATACAATGGCTTTGAAATAACAGAGCTGAACTCTTTGAGCACACATGGGTGTGAGCCTATGGTCCAGGTTCTTTATTCATCTTTATTTTGTCTAGATGTTTCTGGACCATATCCATTTTAGGCCCTTTGGGGTTCTTTTGAGGCTATTTCAAAACTATCTATCCCATTTATGCAATGGAGCTTCCAGTAATGGATTTGGCTTTAAGCCTTCTATAAAAGGAAAAAAAAAGGGCTTTAGACACACTTTATTAAAAAAAATTCAAGGTGGGATTGGGTAAATCCTGAATTAATGTGCAAAACACTTTTCAGAAAATGGTGCCATTTGTGTAACTAATAGTTGATGATGTTTTTGAACCAGTTTAAAAAAACAAACTAAATTCAATAAAATACTAAATTCAATAAAATCTCCTATGTCTTAGAGTTTAACTCACTGTTCTGCTGAAAGCTACAGCTCCATAGATAACCCTGCACAAGTGGATGATTGCTTAAGTGACAGCCTAATGAGTGCTCACAATTGCTGCTGTGAAAAAGAAGACAAAGACAATGTAAAAAATTAAATCATCAAAGCTATCAAGAAAACATTTAGTTTTTGTGACCTTTTCCGATATGCAAAAAAAGTATATATTTTTTATATATATATATATACAGACTGTATATGTAATATTTTCCCCACACATCCACTACTGCTATTTAATAATGTCTCAGTGGATTTCTGACAGTCCAGCATTGCATGGGTGCATGGACACTTTTCATTCCTTCTGCCTGAATGTAAATTAGTGGCAATGAGACAAAATAGAGATATGCATGGCATTTGTAATTGTGTGCATTGGATTACAAAGAGTCAGTATAAATATAGATTACAGGTACTGATGCTAAGGTGTTTAAACATAGCCAAAAAAGTTTTGGGCTTTTTTAAAATCTTTCTGAAAATCAATTTACTAAATGAAGATAGTTGATTTTGTTTCTATTTTTGGGGCCTTTTAACCAAATATTTGTATAAATCATTGTTTAAAGGCAAAAAATGTGAATTATAATGTACAGTGCTATGGCTAAAATATTTCTGAAAGTTTGTTATGTCAAATTCCAGCATAAATACACAGAAAGCAAATCCAA